CTTTTTGACTATGTTACAGAGATTTCAATATCGTCAAAACTTCAAACTCATTTTTCTCGAAACTGTGAAAAGTGGAAATAGTCACTTCTTTCTCTCAGCGGTTGGTATATCCAACAAGGACAGGAAATTTGCAGCCTGTGATCCTCGATGTAGTCAAAGATATGGGAGGATTAAATTGTACTTTTACTTAAATTGCTTTAATTTCATTAGCTGACTATGTACTGAACACAGTAACCTGTATTGACTACTTGCAGGGATAGTTCCCTATCGGAAATTGGTAGCGTTTTAATCTTTGTTTACAGATACAAATGAACGTGTACAAAACGCATTTTACACGCTTAACTAGCTTTCTTTTTTTGTAACCACCTCTACTATTCTGTGTGTTACTCCTTAAGCGACTGAGCCATTTGCATTATGGGGAGTCCATGGGGAAAACTGGCATTGTCACAAACTCGAAATTGTGAGGGTGTCAAATCTAAAAGGTTGTGGACTCGTAACTTCATATTATTTGTTTGATTGGTGGTTTATTGTTATGTTTGTTGAATAGGAAATCTAACAACAATAATCAACCAACAGTTGAACAGAAATGCAATTATGAGTCAACAAGCGTTCAAAATTAACATCCTCACAGTTTTCAGTTTGTGACTATTGTCATTTTTTGCGTGGACTCCTCATATGATATGTACCTACGAGTAGCTTAACTTTTACCTACGTTCCTAACAACTAGAGGGGTGTGCTTTCTCCTCGCGTATCGAGGGAAGCACCCATGCTTAAATAAAAACAAAAAACAGCAACATTTTGACATGATTTGGCAAAGTGCACCATATGTGCTTGATCAAAATCAATTTTTTTTAAAAAATATGGATTGAGTACCCTTTTGTAGAGTATAATATATACCTCCCCCCTCCCTCCCCAGCCGAAAATGGTGCCCAAAGCATAGTTTCAGCTCATTAGCCATACATTTGGAAACCTCATAAGTTTTCAAACATTTTCCATTTAAAAATTAATTACTTTCTCGCACGCGATTTTAAAAGAAAAAGTATTGTATGTTGTCGGGAGCAGGTGTGGCAACTAGAGAAATTGGCCATTTTGTCTTCTTTACCCTAGTTATGCGTACATAAACAAACTACCGCAAACACAAGGGAAACACACACTCACGCTTACACACACATACACACATACACACACGCACATACACACACACACACACACACACACATACACACGCATACACACACACGCACACACACACACACATACACACACACATACACACACCCACATACACACACATACGCACACACATACAAACTCATATACAAATGCATAAATGTACAACACGCATATATACGCATAAATATGCAAATACATATAACACACATACACACATACATTCCGAAATGATGACACAAATCTGATTGGTTGGATTTTTTTTGTCGCTTTTTAGGGGCTGGGGTGTAGTTTTGGTGGGTTTTTTTTGTTTTTTTGGGGGCTTAAATTAACGTTATCATAGGTTGGATGTGGGTAGCAAAATGGCGGGAAGGAGGGGGGTGAGACTAAATAGAAAATGTGTGTACTTTTGTGTCAGCACCTTTTCGTTTCTTTTTTGTTTTTCTTTTTTTTGTGGTTTGGGTTTTTTAATGTCATTTGAACTCTCCAAATATCAGAGCGTGACACCGAGCTTCCCCACGTCTAATGATGTCCAAATAAGAGCCACTGGGAACAATTAAAGTAGAACATCTACTTTTCCCGCTAAGTTCACGCTTTCCCAAGGGGTATCACCTTCATCATACCCTGTGTGGCCGTATCATCTTATTAGTGCTGACTCCGGAGAAGGAAAAAAAAACAACTAATGAACTCCACTCAATCCTTTCAGATAATATAATGGTCTCCTTTTCTCCCTTCTGGCCACACGAGCGTTGAGGAAATTTCTGGTCCTACAATAAAATTTTAACACTGGATGAAATTAAAGGGGACACCATTACAAAAAAGATCGGATTGACGGATAAGATTCTGAATAATCCACGTTTTGGTCAGTGAAATAACTGTTTGGTAGCCCCTAATCTGATTGTATTCTTAAAAGGACGGAAGGCTGTTCGTTAAGAACGGATCTCTGTCGAAACATTGCTTTCAAGAGAACTCTTTTCTGAAATCTACTCATCCCCATATCTCCCCGCTGTCAAAAGAGCCTAAGTGTAATGAATTCGAAAAATAAACGTCGTACATCCCCCTCCGCCCTTCTCTCTCTCTCTCTCTCTCTCTCTCTCTCTCTCTCTCTCTCTCTCTCTCTCTCTCTCTCTCTCTCTCTCTCTCTCCTTCTCTGTGTGTGTGTCTCTCTCTCACACTCTCTCTTTCTATCTCTCTCTCTCTCTCTCTCTCTCTCTCTCTCTCTCTCTCTCTCTCTCTCTCTCTCTCTCTCTCCCTCTCTCTCTCTCTCTCTCTCTCTCACACACACACACACATTAATACGCACACACGCACACACACAAACACACACACACACACACACACACACACACACACACGCATACACACACACACACACACACAAATACATATCCTCACAGAATATATTCTATAATAGTAATAATAATAATAATAATAATAATAATAATAATAATAATAATAATAATAATAATAATAATAATAAAAATAATAATAATAATAATGATGATGATGATGATAATAATGATAACGATAATAGTAATACAAATAAATAGGCTACTTGTGTGGAGTTGGGTGTCCTATATCTTTCTGGGTAATCTTGACCTTTCGTTTTTGTTGATACTTGGATTGAATGACTATGTATTAGTTACAGTGTATTTTTTAATGTATTTATGTATTTATTTATTTTGTTGTTGGGGGGGGGGGGTTAATTCCAATCATTCTAGTTTATCCTGTCTGGCATTTCTTTTGATTCCTCGTTTTCATCATTGTGTTGTTCTTTTTGGAGTTGTTTTTTTTTGTTGTTGTTGTTTCTTCTTAATTAAACTTTGGTTGTGTTTCTAGTTTTTACGTTTTCGTCAACACGTCAAAGATCTCAGTCCGTATGTCCTTTACTTCCTTAATCTGCACTTTACGTTTTTCAACATTTCATGTCCTTACAAATATTGTCTCTTTTTGGATTCAACTTTCGGCTGACATTTTCTTAGTTCCTGTCAGTAATCCCCAGTAAGCTTAACGACATGGTGATGTTATTTCTCTGAGTACTTTTACTTTTCAGTAGCCTTACTGGCAGCTGGCACGTTTGTAAAGAGTACCCGGTATCTCTAATTATACTCGCATTAACGCTTGGAGATAATTGCAACCAGAGTGTCATAATGACGTGTTCAAGGAAGTTATAGTAAGGTTGAAAGGTCCTTGAGTCGGCCCCAGGCTGCTTGGTTTGCTTTTTTTTCTAGAATTATGGTCATGTGATTTCACTGTTTGTCACTGATGATGTTGTCAGCTTGATTCCTGTATTGGTCTCCATATCAAATCCACTTGTGCATCGTCTGTGTGTTTGTCTCCAATGTGTATTCGTTATTATGGTTTTATATTGGACTTAATAAGGAAACGATGCTGAACTTTTTTTGTCTGTAAGGGCATTGTGTGTGTGTGTGTGTGTGTGTGTGTGTGTGTGTGTGTGTGTGTGTGTGTGCACTCGTAATTTACATGTATTTCTTTATTGTTTTTTATTTTACTGCTAACGTTATAATGATAGCTCCTATCTACAACTACATGTATGTCGTTTTGTTCAATTTAATAGACTCCTTTCTTGGGCATCAATTTTCCTGCTTGAAAACAGTGCTGGTTTATTAATTAGTTTGCCCGTTTGTCTGTCTGTTTTTTATATTCATCTACCTACTCACACATTTACCCAAACCCTAACCAGTCTACATCAGTTTATTTTTTTCTGTTAAATTTTATTGTTGCTATCGCCTTTTATCATTTCGTAGTAGGCTCTGATATTCCTTGAAAAACCTTAGGCCCCAAGCAGAGAGCATACTAATCTCTCCCCCCCCCCCCTCTCTCTCTCTCTCTCTCTCTCTCTCTCTCTCTCTCTCTCTTTCTTTCTTTCTCTCTCTCTCTCTCTCTCTCTCTCTCTCTTTCTTTCTCTCTCTCTCTCTCTCTCTCTCTCTCTCTCTCTCTCTCTCTCTCTCTCTCTCTCTCTCTCTCTCTCTCTCTCTCTCTCTCTCTGGATTGATGGGCTCGCTGGGCCTAGCATAAGGGAAATAATCAAACAATAATTATTTGCTCATCATTTTTCTTGGTTCTGTCCCCTAGCTCTTCTAATCTACAGAAAAATGTCATCAAGGTTTTTCGAAAAAAACAAAGGTGAGAGAAGGGGGGAAACCTTGTGTGTGTCGGGGGGGAGGGATTTATGTGCGTGTGTGTGTGTGTGTGTGTGTGTGTGTGTGTGTGTGTGTGTGTGTGTGTGTGTGTGTGTGTGTGTGTGAATGTGTGTGTGTGTGTGTGTGTGTGTGTGTGTGTGTGTGTGTGTGTGTGTGTGTGTGTGTGTGTGTGTGTGTGTGTGTGTGTGCTTAATTGTGTGTTACGTTTAAAAAAAGAGCAGTCAGTCTTCTAAATGTGTATATTTTATTCACATTTGATTGGTTCAGATAGCTATAGTGTAGAATTAGAGATAAAGTTAGAGTTAAAGTTAGGCTTTGTCAATTTAGTGCTAGGCAATGAGGTTACAGTTTGTTTTAAGCTCCTTGGTTTGGTGCTAGGCCAGTTAGGGTTAACCTTACCCCCATCCCTACCCTAATTCCATCCTAACCCAAACCGTAGAATTAACTTAACGCAACTCTAACTCAACCCTAACAGCTAAATCCAGAAAAGTTTAATACAACGTGCTAGTCAGGAAGATTGCCAAAGTAGCCTACAATAAGGAAAAAAAATCTCACTGTAAGTTTATTTGAATTGGGTTGTTGCTGAAATGTAACACCGTAAATTTATGTAAAAGCTGCACTCGGATTTCTTTTATGAAAAACATAAAAACTATGTTTACAAACAGCTCGGGAACGAAGCACTGATGGTAGAGAAGTCTTCAAGAAAACTGCGATGGCCCTAACTTCACCGTAAAATAAAGGAATTTTGATACCGATCCTAGGCTACCAAAGAATGAGAAAATGTATGAAAATTCAATATGTGTCTCTTATTTTAGGCACAATCGGCTTATTAGCCCTGTGTATGAAATTGCTAGCCAAACAAACCGATCCTTTTCTGTCAATAAAGTATCACTATCAGTATGATGAGGACAACCCAGAGAGGAGAGTACAGCACTGGCCACACCACAATTACTCCTCTGTTGCAAGTCATAAAGACGAGAATGTCTTTCATTTTCATGTAATGTTCATTTACAGTTTGGTATCAAAGAAAGCGTATGTGAAGGAGAGCTTTGATGCTTGTGTTTCCACCTTGCTCAACCATTCAAGTCTGCCGCTTGCGATCCACATAGTTGGTGATATTGAGAGCTTTGGCCTTGCCTCAAAAACATTGAAAGCAGCCAGTTTTTATGGGCCGGTAAGTCCTTTTTATTAGCATTCAGTGGAACTTGGCTTTGTCTTAGAATTGCCGGTTTTGTTTCAAATCTTTTAACGTGAATTCCTGTACAGTTTGTGTTGAATTGTTTGTTTTTTTCTTTTCTTGACATTAGTAACCATGATGGGAGTCCATTTTTGCTTTCCCCCTTAGAACTTTTGATTTGGAAAGAAATGAAGTGAGAGAATACAGAAGAACCTGCTCCAACATCACCTGTCAAAGACAGCCACCTGTACTAATGACCACTACCCGACACTCCCTCCCTTTTTCCCGAACGTTCGAGAAAATAAACTTGAACGGTTTTCGTTCTCGAGGTTTGTTTATAAATAGAAAGTGGCTATTCTCACCCGCCCGGAAGTTCTCGCAAGATCTACTCCCCTCTTCTCTCTCTCTCTGTCTCTTTCTGAATACTGTCTATCGGTGTGGACGATCAAATTGACCAAAACAAAGTTAAAAAATGATGTTAAAACACAAAAGTAAATAAATTTGGTTGTCTACAAAGATGCTACGGCTATTTAACTTTTCGAATCGAGCCGAACTACGCGGGTCGCCATTTTGTTTTGTTCTCTCTCTCACTCTCTCTCTCTCCACTGCCCACAGACAAAATTGTACGCTTTTAGTAGGCTACAAGTACAGTTGTAATGGAACGTTTGTTCACAGCACAGAATTCTACAATTTTTCTCTTATCACAGTGTAGAATTCTGTGGTTTAGGGTGAACGCAAAATTTGTTGACACGCGCACCGGGTGAGAATAGCCACAAGACCCGCCTGCACTATTCTCACCCCGGGTGAGAATAGAGGTGGCCTTATAAATAATAAGCGAATGGAGTGGCCCGTTTGTGTGTGTGTGTGTGTGTAAGGTGTAAGATGTGAACGTGGAGGGATATTTTTTTACATGAAGGATTTTAGTTTTTGCTGGGTGACTAAATGCAGTTTTAATAGGCTGCCAAGGTCGAGATGTCTTTTTTTCTCGCAGTACCTTTTGAAGGTATTTTCTTACTTACTTTACTTTTACTTTTTTCTTCCGCTTGTACCCTGGGGGTGTCGCGGGGAGACACAGGTGTCTGTCTGCAGCAAGTCGTGTGGCTTGTAGGAGGGACATCCCATGATCTTTAAGGGTGTCTGCCACAGATTCACTCCATCGTCGCCTTGGTCTTCCTCTGGCTCTCCATCCAGAATATTTAATGTTGTATGCTCTCAGAGCTGGATGGTTTGAGGGCATCCGCGTGAAATGTCCGAACCACTTGACCTTTTGTTTTTCAATGTGTGGTAGGACTGGTGTTGCTCCCACGGTGTCCCTTATGACTTCATTTTTAATTTTGTCTCTTGTTGTTTTGTTGACCGCTCAACAACCGAAGTATCTGAATATTCAGACATTTAAAAATTCCTAGCTCTAGAAATTGAATTTGATGCAAAAAAATACTTTTTCCCAGTCCTCGCAAAATGGCAGAATGAAAGGATGATGCCTAAATCTCGGAAATAACCAAAAAATCTGGAGATCAAAAACTGTTCGGAGAAATAGAGTTCAACTTTATTTTTCCAAATGTTCGGAGAAATAGTCACTTCAGGGTTTTTTTTGTCTGTAAATAATATTTTATAGTATTTAATAAAAAATTTTAGACGTCCATATTTTATAGGCCTAGGCTATAATTTGTCTAGCCATTCACCTGTCGAATACAATCATTTGGCTCCTCGACAATGAATGACTGTCTTGAGCAATTTTGACTGTACACTGGAAAAGTAGTCCCTGGATCACACTGAACATGACAGTGTGCTTTAAAAAGGACCTTCCCAAATGGGACAGTTCAGAAGGTGGTGCTACATAAAATCAGAATTATGAACACACTCTGATGTGTGTAAATCTACTAGTCTCTGTGAGAATTATATTGTAATCGAAGTGGCTATTCGGACTCGAGTCCGAACAGTCGCTAGAGGCTATTCGGGCTCAAATTCCAGTGCGCGCGTGCAATCACCAGTGTACCGTAAGCGAGGTCTATACTGGAGTCCGAATAGTCTTCTGTTGCTATTCGGACTTTAAACTACTGGAAGGCTATTACCCTGCGTTTCTCAACTACAAAGGGATCAAAACATAAAATTCACAATCAGTCCGTATTAAATTAAGACAGCCCCCACCCTCCCCTTTCTCTTTCTCTCTCTCTCTCTCTCTCTCTCTCTCTCTCTCTCTCTCTCTCTCTCTCTCTCTCTCTCTCTCTCTCTCTCTCTCTCACTTTTCCTCTCTCTCTTTCTCTTACTTTTCCTCTCTCCATCTTACATCCCCAGGCCTGCCCCACCTCCTTCACCCCTTTTTTTTCATATATATAGATCTATATTCCCTCCTATACCGTTGCCCACTGCCCGGCCCTACTATTATATATATCCTTTGTAAAAAAAAAATACCACAGTTCGCACTGGGTCACCTCGGTCGGCGTCCATTTATTGTAAGCTCCTTGGCCAGATCATAGAAACTGGAAGGCCAAGGTCGAATTGCTTGTCTGCGCGCACGCTGAGTCCGAATATCCACAGAAGGCTATTCAGACTCGAATTCAGACTCGAGTCCGAATACCGCGGCCTATTGTAATTTATAAAGGATTGTTTTAATAATTTGTAATGCCCTCGTGGATGAAGTTAAATCAATATATGAGATGATAGGGTGCTTAGACCTTGGTCGTGAACCGAACCAGGCTAAACGACTTTAGAATTTTATACCGGGCACTGTTTGCCCCCTTCGACTGCCATCCACCAACTGTTTGAATACAGTCTAAAACTATTGTAAATTTGCCCTGCAACATTGCTAGCAAACTGGCCATCAGAGGTAAACACAACACACAAGGCACCTAGTCCTTACCTGCTCTCACGACTCTGTGAGCACTTGTCGCTGATTTGCTCCCTCGACCAATCCCACTTCCCCCTCCCTTGTCTTGTAGATTTCAGGCTGCATACATTTGACATGAGAAGCCTGTAATCTGGCTGTATATGTAATTTCCATTTTTAAAATCAATTTGAATGCCATCATGTACTTGTATTCAAACAAACACACTCAAACAGACACTCACATGCAAGTGGGCTCACACACACACACAAACACACACACACACACACACACACACACACACACACACACACACACACACATATGACAATCAAAGACAAAAAAATAGTACTTTATTATCCAAGAGGGAAATTTTCCTTGGCTGTACAGAACCGTAAAAACACATGCAGGTATACATTTTAAAAAAAATTAATTATATTACTCTCATTGAAATTCAGTATGAAAGGAGAAGTAAAGCTGGCAAAATGTACATAACATTTACATCAAATGCATCATTCAACCACATGCAGGAATTTAAGTACTAGACCTTTGGAGTTATAGATACATACTCTAAGAGCAACACACATCTATGCTCATTCTGACAAAAGCCTTATGCTATAAATATATTTTAAAAATTCTTTTATATCTTTCTTTCTTTGTTTTAGGAGGTACATATCTGCCGCTGCGTGATCTTACAATTTGTGTGGAAAAGGGGGTGTGATGGGTAGTTTATAATGCTTTTTATCTTCTTTATACGTGTGGTGTTGTACATTTCGTCCATTCTTATAAAATCATATCTAGAGATCTTGCTGGCTTTCTTGATGGTTCTGTCAAATTTTTCTTTATCTTTCACCTTACAATTCCCACCCCAGCAGCAAATACAAAATAATAGCACACTTTCAATCATAGAATGGTAAAAAGGGGACATAATCTTATTGTCAACAAGGAAACTTCTTAATTTCCCTAAAAGAAACATTCTTTGATTTACTTTTTTATGCACAAGAGCAGAGTGGGGATGCCAGTCAAGTTTGTGGTCGATTGTTACACCAAGATACTTATAAGAGCTTGCCACCTCCACCTCTTCATTTAGGAGCAGCTCTCCTAAATCACCAACAAAAAGACACTTTTCAAACACAGATATAATAATATATAGCACAGAAGAATCATTAATTCCCTTGTTATTGGGCTGTAGAGGCTATTTTTAACATAGAAAAGCATTGTTACCCTGCCAGCCTCCTGCTCTCATACTTTAAAAAATTTTTTAAGTTTTTAAATGTTGTCCTCATATTTTCATCTTTATTGTCTTATTTGTCTCTACCTCTAGGTAATTCATCATGATACAGAGAGTTTTCCTGAAGACGTACAGACGGTCATCTCATCAGTTCGAGGAGCTGTGTACCAGAAAAAGAAGTCCAAATTCAGCGACACCATTTTTTTCTTGTCAATGGTTATGCACAGATTCTTGCCTTCCTCTGTGTCAAAGCTCATTCTGTTTGATGTCGACATTGTGTTTCAGTCAGATGTCAAAGACCTGTTTTCTTTATTTGATGATTTCAATGAAAAAAATGTCATGGGTTTAGCTAGAGAAAATCAGCCGGTTTATCGGAATGTTTTCTGGGAATACAGAAAGAAAAATCCAGGCACGCGTATTGGTGAACCTCCCCCAACAGGTCTTACAGGGTTTAATAGCGGAGTTGTACTTTTAGACTTGGATAAGATGCGGAGGTCAAAAGTGTATAATGTGTACCTGGATGAAGTGCGCATGTTGTCGAGTTTAGTTCAAAAGTATGAGTTTCAAGGGAATTTAGGGGATCAGGATTTGTTTACTCTTATATCTATTGAAAATGAAGAGTTATTTTATGTCTTGCCGTGTCGCTGGAATCGTCAGTTATGTACTTGGTGGAGGCGAGATGAATATGTGGAGATCTTTGATCTATATTACGCTTGTGAGGGCCCTATTCATTTACTGCATGGAAACTGCAAGACCGACATAGGACTGCCTTTGAAAGGAACGAGAAAAGAAAATTAATAGGAAAACACAACTCTATTAATTCTTGAGGGGGATTTTGTTTTATAAATGAGGATACTAAAGCAATCCCATGTAATGTGGGGAATTATTTCAAACTATAGCATGCCTTTACTGATGACAATTGCTTTGTGTTTTTATTTGATAGAGCTAATCATTCACATCAGGTTATGGGTCTGAATGCACGTATTATATGAATGTGTCAACCTTTGTCCTTTTGTGTATCGAATGCACACTTCAGCATGGACTGGTGTGTATCTAGCAGTTGGCCCAAAGCAGTTGAGGGTCACTGTGCTAAGAAAGCAACAGTGAAGTGAGAGAACTTGATCGACCTTCATATTCTCTCCAGCTGGTGACAAGAGTGTATGGTCGTTTTGATATCTGGTTGACATAGAGATGTAAGTAGGATTCAGACTGACTTGGAAGAAACGCTGAGTTAGATTTACATTATTGAACAATTTATTTCTCAATAAGGTGAAAAAGAAAGTACATAGGTTGATGCAATTGTTTTATATTTTGTTATTATTTTCTCCAAGAGACATAATTACATTATGCAATGAAGCCATTCAAAACTGACCTGTATTGGATATAGGAATTCTCTGCTATAAAGCTCAGCACCTCTGAATTAGTTGATCTATGATTTTATGTTGATTTCCAAAGTGTCTTCTGTAATTATACATTCTCACATACAGAGAGAGACCCAAGAGCCTCGTCTGTAGTGGCCTAGAATTATTATGCAAGGTCTGTTATGGTTATGTCTGGTTGTGTAAGGCCTGCTAATAGATTGTGTTTTTGTCTAGAAGCTGTAAATACTGAACCTGATTTATTTGCTTTTAAATTGTTTGCTTACATTGTACTTTGAAAAGCTGCTTAAGCTCAATATGGTTGTTATTATTTTTATTATAATATAACAGTTGTTATATTGGTGCTGTTGTGAATTAAGAAGCAGCTAAAATTGTTATATATATATATGTTGCCTGTACTCATCATACTATGTACTTAATACATGCTGGTACATAGCAAAATCTTAATAGGTTTAAATTTTTGGTTGTGCTGTTTCTTGAACTCATGCATTATACTTCGAGGCAGAAATTCTGACTCCCCATGGTAAAAAAACGATAGCCAGGTCTTTTGCCTGTACTCGTTTTTTGAAAGGGAGAAGATTATACTAGACTGTGAGTGTTTACACAGCCACCAATACAATTTAGATTATTTCGAAAGTGGACTGCTTCAACCCTGCCTGTCAGGGGTCAAGCGGGGTGGGGTAGGACATAGTACACCAACAGAGAGAGTGAGATTCTCTATGAGATAACTTCCCCTTGCAGAAATTGATATTTTGTCTTCTGTAATCAAAACACAAATATTGCTTAACCACTGTACTGTAGATGCCAGTCGAATTGCTTCTGATGGCAGTTGTACATTGGTCTAATGTTATGGTAAAATTGGGCATGGATTACACAAACACCGAAAATTAGACGTCATGGATAGCTCATACAATTTGCCATTCCCTGACTGATATCTCCCAAATTATTTGCTCATTACTATATCAGATTACCAGAATTATGGATGTTTCAAACACATTATTCTTAATCCTGACATGTTTGAGTTATTTATACCTGACTGTATTTCGACATGATGCTCAGTGTGACTTTCCATGTCCTGCAGTGAGAGATTTCTATTGGCCCTTCCCTTTTAAGGTTCTTTTTGTTTATGTTTGTGATGGTTTTTCTAGTGATATCGTGGACCATATTGATCAGTCCTTCCTATTGAGGTCTTTGTTTTGTTGTTGTGGTTTTGGGTTGTTTTGTTTTTTTTATGTAGGTGTTTTTACACCCCCATTAACACAATTTTGATCTTTTAGAAGGTTGGTTTCTGACCGTGCCTTTACACACATGTGAGGACCAATACAGAAAGACTACGATCCTCAATGAAAAATGTTCTTCCCATTAAGGAATGGAACTTGGGTCTCATGATTGCTGTAGTAAAAGGCCTAACCGCTACACCACAGATGCTGGTCTCTTGAGTTTGACGTAATCTGACATGATGTATTGTGTTTTGTGAGGTTATCAGGATGTGGGAGGTGTCCACAGCAAGAGGCTGGATTGTCCGCAATCTTATTTCCCATACCTACAGCTTGTTATTAATTGTAGTGGGGCCACTTTAATGTTGTGGTTGTTGATGTGGTAGGCCTACTTAATTCAGTAGAGTGCCTTCCACTTTGCATTTTTTTGTTAAATGTTCGACTTGTGTAAAGAAATTTGTGCTGCAAAATTTATGCAGATTTGTGAAATTTTTTTTTTCTTTTTGTTTGTTCACATTCATTCAATGTATGGACATTATTATCTTTACATGGACTCGCTCTCTTTCCAACCTTATTGTTTTGCAGTCGGAAATCATTTTTTAAATGTCCTCAAATCTATGGCACTTATATGACCTGCTTGTGTTGCAAGTGTCATAGAACTCTTAATAATTATTTTTATTAAAAAATTTATAGATTTTAAAATAACAACCTTTAGTGCTGTGGTTAATGAAGTTAAAATGATTGGAGGTGGGAATATAATTTCATGTGAGTGAACAAATGTATTATAAATGTTTAATAGTATATTATACATGATATAAATATAGAGCTATATATATGATATGTATACACATGTATTGTATTTCGAGGGCCGCCAAGTAAACTTTGATAAGTCATATTTTTCTGATTTTACAGGAGAGATACTTTACTTTACTTTTCCGATCCAGCAGCCATTTGGGTTCTAACCCTTCGGTCTGTCGATATGGCAAAGATTTTACAGGTTTTAATCAGCACTGGAGAGATAAAAAAAAAAGGATTTTCTTGATGCATTTTGGATTGGATAAACTCCATTTTCATAAGAGATCCAACTAATGCTATGACAGACATTAGGCTCCCTTATGAAAATGAAGTTTATCCACCCAAAACACTTAGAGAAAATCCAAATTTTGTCTTTCCTGTAAAATTTGAAAAACATGACTTACCATAGTTTACTTGGCGACCCTCGAATTTAAAAGACCTAATAATGATATTGGTCTTACAACTGCTATAAAACTGTTAACTTACATTTAATTGTTTGGTTGGATTTGCTAGTACTAGTATGTATAACCTGTAGCATACTTGTTTGTGTGTTGAGACTTCTCAGTTTTGACCCTTGCGATTCAGTCTTCTTTCTGTTTCTTAAGACTGTTTCACCAGAAGTATAAATTCTTGAAGACAAGCATGCCATCTCAGATTTTTTTGCACGCAGCCCCCCCTTTCGGTCACTAATACTTTTATGATCTAGTTTCATATTTAATAGTGTCGCCAAATCTTCCCTGCTGAAGTCTATAGTCTAACGGTAAGGCTGTTTGCCACAAGAGTGCTATTCCCATTGGGGGAAATTGCTTTAGTGGATGTCTCCGTGCGTATGCTGGGATGTTGTATTCCATATTGTGGCGTCGATTGCCTAGTGGCTAGGCTATCGGACTCGAAATCATGAGGTTGCATGCTGCAGGCCCGATGTTGTGTCCTTGGGAAAGGCACTTTACACTAATTTTCCGCACTTCACCCAGGTGGGAATGAGTACCCAGCCATAGACAGCGGATGATCTTGTCTGTATGTTAGTGTGTTCGCGTCTATAAATGGTCGCTTGCACTGTACATGTATGCTTCGCAGGAGGTTGAGGTTGTTTCAGAATGCTCTCAGATCTGCTGGGGTAATAGAATAGATTAGATTGTGAAGTGCATAAAACTTGCTGTTGAGCGGAGATTTGCGCTATACAAATGTTATCTATCTGTTATGATTATATTATATCTTTTTAAGTTAACCCCAACAGGAAGTGTTAAGAATAGCCTACCTCCTATAAGGTCTATTGGGGCTTGAATAATATTTTATAACACGGATAATTTGAACACAGAAGTCTCAAAATCATGCGTCCTTCGAGCTGTGCCTGCGGTCCTGGGGTTGTTGCTGTTTTCTCTTTTTTTTTGTTTTTTGGTAAGATATCCCTCAAACTACTGAGGCCGGTCCCGGCGAATTCAAGCTATCTGTGTTATACTGTTCGTGCACAATGTACCATCATCATCTTCAAAACTGTCACTCACTTGTCTCCCACACCTTTTTTTTAAAAATGTACATTATATCCGTTTTCATGATCTTGTGACGAGGTTTTTTTTTTCTGCTCTTTTTATTGCTGTTGTATAAAGGTTGTGCTACTAAGTTGTTAGTGCATATTATATGAGGTTGTTTTTGTTATCCCATATTGCCTTCTGCTGTTGTTGTTGTTTTTTTAACTGAAGCTTACTTGTGCCTTTATGATCAAAATGATTATTGTTCACTCTTCTATTTAGGAAGATGTAAGTGAAGGCAAAGATTCTTTGCTTTATTTTCAATTTTCATAGTTTTTCCTCATGTATGTGACTATTTGTGTGTGTGCGTGTGTGTATGTATGTTTCACTCGGTGTGTCTCTCCCCTTCTCTTTTCCTCTTTTTCTTTGTCTCTGCCCCCCTCATCGCCCCTTTTCCCCTCTGCATCATCCTTCATTTTTTCTCATTGCATTTGTCTCTTAGTGCTTCTCCACAGAGTTGGGTTGATTTAAATCAGGTTGATTTAAATCAGTTGATTTTTTAAATTTAAATCAACCTGATTTTTAAAGTAAAAGTCAGTGATTTAAATCCCTTTTTTAAAAATTATTTTTATTCTGTTTTTACATATTTTAACATTCAGAATTCCTTTCCTTGGTTTCATAAAACAGACATAAGTTTTAGTAGACTAATATAATCATGCTTAAAAGTCTGCTTTACCCCCTTTCACAGTAAAATAGTACAGTATTCAATTTACTTTTGTTTCCATAATTGAAATCAGAGATGTGTTGATTTAAATCAATTGATTTTTTTATATTTTAATCAACTAGATTTTTAAATAAAAATCAGTGACTTAAATCACTTTTTTTTTAAATGTATTCGGTTTTTACATATTTAAACATTCAGAATTCCTTTCCTTTGTTTTATAAAACAGATATAAGTTTTAGTAGACTAATACTAATATAATCATGTTTAAAAGTCTGCTTTCCCCCCTGTCACTGTAAAATAATACAGTATTCAATTCACTTTATTTTCATAATTGAAATCAGGGTTGGGTTGATTTGAATCAGGTCGATTTAAATCAGTTGATTTTTAAAAATTTAAATCAACTTGATTTTAAAAATAAGACTCAGTGATTTAAATCACTTTTTTAAAAATGTTTTCTGTTTTTACATCTTTAAACATTCAGAATTCCTTTCCTTGGTTTTATAAAACAGATATAAGGTTTAGTAGACTTATATAATCATGTTTAAAAGTCTGCTTTCCCCTCTGTCACTGTAAAATAATACAGTATTCAATTTACTTTTTTTTCATAATTGAAATTAGCATTTTCTTTTTCTTTTTAGACAAACACAAGCGTGTGCACACACACACACACACACACACACACACACACACACACACACACACACACACACACACACACACACATACACACACACACACACTGTAATAAAATGCAAGTTTATCTGTGCATAATTAACCCCCCCCCCCCCTCTTCCTTTTAGACTGACATTTTCTTCTTTTTCCGTCTGTAGCCATATTCACTGATACAGCAGATTAAGGCATTCTTTTGCAGTTGCTTAAATTAATCATTAGTTAAAATATAGACAATGCATTTTGCACTAAAAGAACATACTTTTAGCCACCAAAAATCCTGAACTGTGTTGACTTTTTTTAAATAAAAAAAATCCGATTTAGATTTTAAAAATCTGATTAAAATTTTTAAAAATCGATTTTTTTTATTTTTTTTAATCGCCAACCCTGCTTCTCCATGCATCTCTCACTGTCTCTTGTTTGTCATCCGCGTTATAACTCTTTCTCGCTTCTTTTCTTCTGTCTTATTTTCCTACTGCCTCTCATTTACATGTATACCATAGGACTTTGAAGGAAAAGTTACTCTGTGCTCTTTGTATTGATTTTATCATTGGAGTAGGCCTACATTGTCTGTCGCCCAATGTGGAAATTGTAATTGTATTGAGTGGGGAGTATTTTAGTTTTAGCGCAACGCAAAATTATCCAGTGTTGTAATAATAATAATATTATGGTCTGTTGCCTTTATATTTGCTTGAATAGTATATATACGTTTGTGGTTTTGGATTTAAATTGGTTTTTTTGTTTTGTTTTGTTTTTTGACGGGGATGGGGGGGGGGGGGGGGGGTAGGACACAGAAAATGCAAGACTTTTGCAGGAAAGTGAATTGTGAGAATGAAAGGAATTCAATGCTTCCTGTGAAGTCTCCCTTACATCAACACTGATATATATATATATTTTTTTTTTTTAATTCAGGGAAATGTTAGACAAAGACAGTTGACAAATTCAAAATTCTGTTTAGAATTTAGACAATTTTGTTAGGGGGGGGGGGGGAATTTTTAAAAAATAATTATTTGGGCACTTTAATCCAATTCATAGACCTATGCCTGGTGTTGATGGAGACTGTTTTTGTTTAGTTACTTCTTCTTTATTGTTTTTGTTTAGTTTTTTCTTCTTTATTGTTTTTGTTTAGTTTTTTCTTCTTTATTGTTTTTGTTTAGTTTTTTCATCCTATCATTGTCAAGCGTTTTAAAGGCGTGTGTTGATAGCACAAGACCAAGATGTGTAGTAGAACTTGTAACGAAATGGAGATTTTTATGCATTGATGACTCTGAAATAAAAGCAATTACTTGTTTTCAAATCTTTTTTGTCAGAGTTATAGTCGCGACAAATGCAAGTGAGTCAGTGAGGTAAAAAAGAAGGAGAGGGGAGGGGGGGATTCAGATTTTTAAAATTAATTTTTTCTTTCTTTTTGAATTGTGTGTGTGCGTGTATGTGTGTGCATGTTAAAGTTTATTTTTTTGGCGGCTGCTTTGAGGACACCACTGCCTGGTCCTACTTGTTTTCTTTCCCTCTGGTATTTCTGTCTAGCTTACTTTTTTTTTCCTGGACTAAATGACCATTAATTAATGTCAATGTGCTTCTCTGTTCTCGAAGAAACAAAAACAAACAAACCAGTTTTTAAACTATCTCATTTTTGTTGTTGTTGTTTGGTTTTTTTTGCTGCCGGACATAGTGCTCTTGGTGGGTGGGTAGTTGATGGGTGCTCAAGTGTAGTTTACCACTTCTTTCTTACTTTCTTATCAAGCATCCACCGTGCGTATCTTTCCTCCTTCTTTTTTGTTTATGTCACTCTAACATCTTCGGTCCAATTTCTTTAACCTACTTGTCCTCCCGGGGCGGTGCAACTTACTGAAGTGTCTTTAGGCCATTCCCAAAAGGAGGACATTTCTCTGCCTAATGCGCAGTAGAATTGTAAATGGGCTGATCCAATTATGT